TCTTGTTAACCGGTACACGAGGACAGAACCCCGAAGGGTCTCCACTCATCGAAGCGTGTACTGTAGCCAATGTAGTGAATTTTCAGTCTCTTGTTGGGTTTGTCAACCTCCGTGACTTCAATATCATACAATTTTGTATCTTTTCTCTGTGAAATGACCTTTTTAAGACAGACAGACAGACAGACATCTATATTTATACAGGATAGCCCCTTCAGTGTAGTAAACACTGGTATCAACGGGGGTCCTGTTACCCACCCATCCCACCCCAGGGGAGGACATCCATCACACAGTAATCTCGTGCGTGGGAAATTAACGTCTCCTGCCCCTAACCCTGCAGGAGACGGGACCTCCATTTATTCGTCCCTATCCGAGAAGACTAGAATATCTAACCATTTCTTGATGTTAAAGAAAGGAAGCATATTCTTCTCAGTTAATTTTAAGACCCTGAGTGTTGGTCCGGCCGGTATTGAACTCTCGACCTCCCGCACAGCAGTCCGGCGCTCTCCCAATTGAGCTAACCAGGCGGCGGTTTATACATGCAGGAATGTATAATGAATAACAAGCTTTCTTTGATCAAACTTAAACCTTAATAGTCCTATGATATTCCAATTATCTGCAGTTGTCTCTTTACATTTCCTATGATAAATATGACAAGGAGATTTGTTTCAAAATAAACGGTTTCTTAAGTTGGTCATTTCCATTATTCTCATGACCTTTACATACTGGATCCATGCAATAGTGAACTTCAAAGAAAAATTAGAAGCCAGTCACTCAAAAAGGGTACATCCCTTGCAATTATCACAGCTTAAAACATCTACCGGTAATGTCAACATACTGGACATCATTAAGACTTAAAATATTTAGATCCACCATTCAGTGCACAATGGAAAATCACATGGACTGGCAAATAAGTTTGTTATGTTTACTAATTCCTTTTGTGATTGCATCTATGTTTGACAAGTTAGGGATTGAGTCATTAGTCAAATGAAGAAAGACTCACATGGAAATAATAGTTTCCTGAGACTGTTGGATACAGACATTGGTATTGCATGGTACATAACACTGGTGGTTTTTTACAACTTATGAAGTTGCCCTACTAGCACAACATAGGCAATTGATTTATTGCACTGTATTTTAAATCCGGAGTTTCCAGGTTGACATCTTTCACTTTAACCATTAATTGCATTTGTGTTCCTCTCCTCCGCCTTGTTGGGTACAAAACTACATAGTTCTGTTTCAAGCTTGACAGAAAATCAGTGAAAATATGTAGTTTTAAGAGCCTAAAGGTGAAAGTTTCATTTTGTCTGCCCACAGCTGAACTATGTTTCACAGACATTATCAGAACAGGGTATAAGCTCTTGACATTACTTTGTTTTGAATTTACAATGTGTACAGTCTCCCAGTAGGGATTACAGTACTAACACATCGAAATTTACCTGCAATGACAACACCTGATCCCATTCATTTGATGTTCTTTCATCTTTTGTTGATCTCACAGATTTAAATCATTGATTCAATGTATGTACAAGAAGTAAGATCAAATCAATATTAATACATGACTTTTATACTAAAATAAACTTAAATTTACAGCAATCAGGATTTGTGGGTATAGAATTTAGAGGGACCTCTCCTATTGAAATTGAAAAAGTTCTCAGTGGAACAAAGGATACGTTGTTATCATTGACACAAACATCTCTCGAACTCTCGAAGTAATCTTCCCAAGACAACGGAGTGTAATCACGCTTGCGTCGCACTCCTCCGGCGGTTCTGTTTGTGCGACAAAAGATCGTTATTCAACAACAACAGCTGCATGAAGATGAAATCAATTCGTTGTCTTAATTCTTACCCGTAAGATTTCCCAGGTCGTTTCGGGGCAGGAGGTAAACCACCGTATTTGTTCTTCAAAGCATCTTTCCTCAGTTCCGACATGTTGGATTTTTTTCTGAAAATTCTTATCGCAGGCTCATGTTTTGCTCGCATGGGAGCACATTTAATTTTGTCATGCAGTCAAATGGTCACGAAGTCACTCACATTATCACGAAAACGATGATTAATAGTAATGTGGCACTTTATACTGCTACGGTCTTCTCCATTTTGTCTTTTTTTATTTTCTGGACGCAAGCTCTAGCCTCACAGCCTCACATATTGCTACTATTGGTGGATGATTTGGGATGGAGCGATGTTGGATATCACGGTTCGCAAATAAAGACACCTAACGTTGACAGACTTGCTCGTGAAGGAGTAATTCTTGAGAATTATTATGTCCAGCAATACTGCACACCAACTAGGGGATCTCTTATGACAGGCCGGTATCCAATACACACTGGTGAGTATGTTTTCCCAGTTTTCTTCCTGAAGGCTCCTGAAAAACATGTTTTGGCCAGCGTCCCGGGGGTAACTTTTGGGATCAAAGCCAGTATCTCGACAACTGCGAGGTGAGGGGTGGGTGCACAGTTGCCCATATACGGACGTTAATGCAACTTTTGTAACCTAGGGACCCGGGGGGTACTCCTTTATAAAGGCTTAATGGGGACGTGCGGCCAGCCTGGGTATGTTTTTCGAGATTTTTGTCTTAAACAGGGTATCGGAATTTATCATTTTTTGTCTTAATCAGGTTATCGATTTATCACTTTTTGTCTTAAACAGGATATCTTTTCTTGGAAGATAAACAGCAAAATTTTTACAAGCTCTAATTTTAATTAATATTGAATTCCGTTGATTTTGGCATTGATAACAGGAACATTAAGTGTCTTGAACAGGGTATCAAAAATTGGAATTCTGTCTTCAACAGGGTAGGAAAATCAGCGATATTTGTCTTAAACAGGGTCAGGGTATGAGGGGTCACGCCGCACCTCCCCAGCCAGGAATATATTGAGTACCCCACCCCGGGGCCTACGGGGAACCACTGTTTTGTGCTGTTCCACTGTCTACCTGGAGAAATAAGAGATGCTCTGTTCACCAAATTTTGTTTAAAGAGAGCAAGGGTACCTTTAACGTCAGGGAAAGGAAATAAAATGACAATAAGAAATTAAGTGAACAAGCTCTTCATGTCAGTGTTGAAGCATGCATGGAATGTAGAAGATAAAACTCAAGGAACAAAGTTAAGGGCCACAGGAGTAGAGACTGGCTCCTACCATTAACCCCCCCCCCCTACCTCCCCACTTTGTAGTTTTAAAGGGAAATGTTAGGTATTGAATGGCAACATTATATGTGATAAAAAGAATGATTTTCAGAATTTTCCTGAAAGTTTTTGCAGCCTAGAAGTAGTTGTTTGCCATCTGTGTTAACTGTTTATCTTAGACTCCATGTTCATTCTATTCTTAAAACAGTATTGAAAACATTGTAACCTAAAAACTTCAAATGAAGAATGACCCCTGTTTATTTTTGATCTGCAGGCCTGCAACATCGAGCGATTCTTAGCTTAACTCCCTTTGGACTTCCTCTAGAATTCTCCATTTTACCGGAGAAGTTGAAAGACGTAGGTAAGTTGAACATTCATATGTTCCTTTCAACCGTTTTAATCCCATGCTCTGATTGTTAATTTTCCCCATTAGTTGCTACACATTTCCCTGTAAGTAAGTTAGGAGAGTTTAGTGCTAGATCAAGATAACAACATCTGCCTGAGGTTGACTGTAAATAAATTAATTATGGATATTATTGGGAGAAGTTACATTTTAATCACTTCTGGTACTTAAAGTTAAAAAGCAGGAAAATGCAAACAAGAAAACAAACAAAAGAAAACTTTTAAAAGTGATAGGCAAGAAAAATAGGTCATAATACCTCTTCCTCCCCCAGCCCTTCAATCTACCCCCAATTCCTCAATTCTACATTTAGTGAGTTCTTTTCATTACGTTATATGTTACCATCTTCAGGTTATAGGACACATCTTGTTGGGAAATGGCATTTAGGTTACTATACATCTGTTAGTACTCCAACATATAGAGGTTTTGATTCCTTCTTTGGATTCTACAATTATGGGCACGATCACTTTGACCACACCCATGGTGGGTTTTTAGACCTCTTCAGGGGTGAAAAAGTTGCCAGAGGGTACAATGGACAATACACCACCCATCTTTATGTACAGGTAATTTGGAATAAGAGCTCTGTTTTATTAGATTAATGTGACCTCATACACGTGGCATGCATGCCGTGCACTTGTAGCTCCCCTTGAAGGATTCAGGGGAGGCACTGGGGACTGAGTTATATGCGTGACAGGCAGAACAAGAAATCTTACCATTAAACATTAGACTTACTATAAAAACTCTGACAAGTTGAGAGTATATAGTCAATGTACAATGGCATGTTAAGTTGGCATGTGACCCAATATTGGATCATCATCTTGAGTTCAAAGTCTGCCTAGTTTCCAAACCCCTCATCCATGTAGTGATCTCAAACCTTTGGACACATAGAGAAAAGTGTCTTCTTTTGCAGATTGTTTAAAAAGTGTGTAATAAAACAATTATTGGGTTCCATTTTCAAATGATATCATGAATTATTAAACCTCGTGTCTGTGTTATCTGCCTCAGCCTTTGGCTTCAGCAGATAACTCGGACCTCAGCATTAATTACTCATAATATCATTTGCTCAATCTCATCCAGCAATTGCTTATTGCCTCCTCAGCTATTTCAGGAATTTAAAACCATTTGCAAAAATGCTGAATGGCTTTTTGCTTTTACACAGCTTAAGTTCACTCTTCCTCAATCAAATCTTCAAGTTTTATTTACTGCAGGAAGTTGAGAAAATTGTTAAAGAGCATGATTCTTCCAAGCCACTGTTCTTATACATGGCATTTGAGAATGTCCATGACCCAATCCAGGCACCCAAAAAATACCTGGACAAATACAACTTCATCAAAGACAAGGATAGGGGAACTTATGCCGCCATGATGGATGTGGTGGATGAAGCCATTGGAAATATAACAGAAGTGTTTAAAGAGAAAGGGTAAGGCTGTTTTTGATTGCTACCTGCAGACAGCTTTTGTAGCTTGGTTTGGGCAATATTAAAACTCACTGTAATCACATAGATTGTCCCAAGTACATTAGGACAAAAAAAATAACTATATACAAGATTTTTCTCTTCATCTGTGGAGACCCAGGGTAAATGATCAGGCAATAAGAAACCCCAACAGCAGTGACTCTGTTTAATGAGAATGCCCATCTGATAAACCTTCGCATGAAACTGAAACTGCCATTGCATGCCTTCCAAGAACGAGTTTAAGGTATTAAAACTGGATGAATGGGGAAATTATGCTGATGATGAATTACCATCTTTCAGAGGGTCATCTGGTTTGGGATGGTCTGGGAAGGAAATCCTCGTTGAATACGCGCTCTCATCCACATTTTCAAACCAACTGCTATTTGTATTGACACCTCTAGGTTGTGGAATGATACTCTTGTGATTTTTAGCTCGGACAACGGCGGAGATCCTTTCTACCGCGGCTTCAACTACCCCCTACGTGGATACAAGAGGACGCTGTGGGAGGGTGGGGTGAAAGCGTGCGGTTTTGTTTATGGTCAGATGCTCAAACGAAAAGGGGTGATCTCACGTGATCTCATTCATGTGACTGATTGGTATCCGACTCTCGTTAATTTAGCAGGTACATTAGACGTTATTACGGTCAAACCTGTATTAAGCAGTACTGTCTAGAGTGGTCACCTTGCAAAAGTGGCCGCTTTTCAAAGTCCGGAATTTTTTCCCCGAATTTCTGTATTTTTCACCTTTATTAAGCGGTCATGGCCACCTTTTGCGAAGTCCCAACAGCCAAGCGCAAACACTCAAACAGACCTAAGAATAATAGTAAAATGGAATTCATGTATATCTTCCAAAATCAATTTTTGTAGTGTTTCTGAGGAAGTCTTTGTAAATGTATTGGTCAATTATGTTAAAACATGGCATTTTTTATCGTTTTTTTTTTTTTTAATACTCTAATTTTGTGGAGTATTAAAAAGCGGTCACCCGGCGGCTGAAAGAGGATTAATGTTCGGTCTTTTGAAAAACTGCGAGAGTTCAGTTGAGTTGGTAAAACCAATTTAAATGCTGTTCTGTGGTAGTAGCACCCTGTCACTGTTTGACCTGAACGTAACACCAGAACACATACAAGTCGCATGTAAGCTTCGATTGTCAGGTGAAGACTTCAAGACTCTTCCTCCTCGATTCGATTGTAAGGAAGTCATCCTTTTTCATTCGGAACCCTATCTGACACTAGTGATATCTTGGGGCTCGGCAAAGGCTATCATATTTTGAGTTCGAAATCGTCCGAAATGCTGGATAACTTCTCGAATGACGAATCTGCTCATTGATTTTTTTAAACACAAGCATCGAAAAGGTAATGACTGTCTTTCCCTCAAGTTTTTCTATACATTAACGTATCCGTTGATAAGAGAAAAAAAAATAGATGTTATGTACGGTAGGATTTGAATTCACAGCCTCTCGCTTTCAGGGCTACCAGACAGTCCGCAGCGTTACATCAGCACATACTCATTTTCTGTACAAAAGTTTGTATTTAAACACCTAAAATGGTGACAATATGCAGACAATGAACATCTCAGCCTGTTGACCACGTTTATTTAAACAAAACAATCGTATTTTTTTTTTTTCACAGTACCAAGAAGAGTCCCTCAGTAATCTTTGACACATGAACACTTTTCATCATTGACTGATACTGAAGATGTCAAAGTACAACTCTAAGTAACCTATTATAAAATTGTGCCAGTGCGTGTAAGAAGAAAAGTACAACTAAACCTTGTAACGATGTTCCTGGAGGTGGGCCCCCTGAGCCATGAATTGATACAAAAATTCCATTCCCGGCCTTTCATTAATCATTATCCAGTTCAGTGGCTCACAGCCACTTTGATTTTGTCTTCTAGAGGACCTCCACAACTAAGCCAAAATTTCTCTAATAGGCACATACACAGTCCTTGCTCTCTTTGCTAATCCTTACGTTTGGAGACGATTTTATTACCGGTATCATACAGCCATGGCATTTGTTTTTGTTGTTTTGAAGGTGGCGCAATAGATTCAAAGCCTATGCCAGTGGATGGCTTCGATGTGTGGGAAACCATTTCTAGTGGAGCACCTTCGCCCAGGAAAGAGCTTCTTCACAATATTGACTTCCCTGAGAAAAGATCAGGTCTTTTACTGACATATGACACCTGGTACAGCGGAGCGGCAATTCGCGTTGGTGACATGAAATTGTTATTGCATGTACCCAATGCCACTTGGTACCAGGTTCCAGAAGAAGGAGGAATTGCACCAGACATGGACGAAATCTGGGTAATGGTTTTCGCTGTTCTTATCTTTTTACTCTTTTCTTCCTTGATACTTTGAACTACCCATTTCCTTCAGAGACTAAATTACGCTGACTAGGAAATGATGATCAAACGATATCCACGCCGTCGTCAATTTTTGTAAATCAGAGCAATAATGGTGAAGATTTGAAATGATTACCCTTGGAAAACTTGAAGATCAACGACCTGACTTTTTTTTCAAATTTATCTTAATGCGCACGAAAATAAATTTCTGAACAAACTTGATTAAGAATGAATAAAGGGTGAAAGTTTCCAAAGAAACTTTGGTGCTGCGTCAGTGGGGGTAACAAGGTAATTTGGTTACATCAAGTATGTTGAAATTGTAAATTGGCCACCGTAACGAGTTAAAAAGCTGACGTTTCGAGCGTTAGCTTTTCGTCAGAGCGAAAACGAAGGGCTAACACTCGAAACGTCAAATTTTTAACTCGTTACGGTGGCCAATTTCCAATTTCAACTTAGTTGATATAACCAAATCAACTAGATTAAGAACGGTTTTGCATTTTAGAGTGTAATTGCTTTTAATTTCCAATAAACAATTTGTTCTCTGTAATTTTTATTGAGTTTTATATGAAACCTAACGAGAGGTTAACCAAGTTCTTGTGACAAAGCCCCCCCTTTGAACAAATGCGCAAATAAACTGGTTCTTTCCCTTTCAGGATCAAAAGACAAACATCGTAGAACTGGCCTTATATAACGTAAGCGCTGATCCTTCAGAACGTTACGACGTAAGCCCTAAATATCCTAACATTGTGCGACACCTGAAGGACCGAATACATGAATATTGGAAGACCGCTGTCCCACCGGGGATCGTCCCAGAAGATCTAATGGCTCTAGCTGTAGCCATGAAAAACAAAGCGTGGGCACCATGGAGAGACACGTGCAATGCAAAATGAGGGTATGGATCTTTCTCCGAAATGGCGATCTCAGACTGGAATCCGTCAATATTGATCTGCGCAAGAAACTGTCACCTGTCCCAAAATTAAAACTTCTGTTATTTTAAATGTTTCAGTCGAGAAATAAGAAATTGAGCTTTCTCTTTCTTCCCATACCAGAAGACTTATAAACCGTGAAACTTACATATTCATTTGCCAATTTTACACTATCATTTCTTCAAAAACCTTTGGATTTATCAGATTTATCCATTGCTGACCAAAATCGACAAAACAAGGTTTCGGATTTGGCCAATACATTCTGATGTGGAAACTTTGCTACGCAGTAAGCGTTTATTTGAAATGTTGTCTCAACGTCTCGAAGGACGGTGAACCTGCCAAAACAACCAACAAGAGACACATGCGTTATCAACAAAGCACGAGGTCAAAATGGCTGGATATTGGCCAAGTTCTTTTTTTGCATAGTTATGAACCTTATGAATCCTTCTTTGGATTCTAAAATTGTGGGCATGATCACTCTGACCACACCCATAATGGATTTTTAGACCTCTTCAGGGACGAAAAAGTTGCCAGAGGGTACAAAGAACAATACACCACCCATCTCTATGTACAGGTGATTTGGAATAAGAGCTCTGTTTTAGTAGATGATGAATGTGGCTACATACACGTGGCTTGAATGCAGTGCACCGCTGTAGCCTGTAAGCTCTCCTTGAAGGGTTCAGAGGAGGCACTTGCTTTTAATTTCCAACAAACAATCTGTTCTATGCAATTTTTACTGAGTTTTACTTGAAACCTAACGAGAGGTTAACCACTGAAGTTCTTGTGACAAAGCCCCCCTTTGAACAACTACGCAAATAAACTGGTTCTTACCCTTTCAAGATCAAAAGACAAACATCGTAGAACTGGCCTTATATAACATAACCGCTGATCCTACAGAACGTTACGACGTAAGCCATAAGTATCCTAACGTTGTGCGACACCTGAAAGATCGATTACATGAATATTGGAAGACCGCTATTCCACCGGGGATCGTCTCAGAAGATATAATGGCTCTAGTTGTAGCCATGAAAAACAAAGCGTGGGCACCATGGAGAGACACGTGCAATGCTAAATAAGGGTATAGATCTTTCTCCGAAATGGCGATCTCAGACCGGAATTCGTCAATATTGATCTGCGCAAGAAACTGTCACCTGTCCCATATTTAAACTTCTGTTATTTTAAATGTTACAGTCGAGAAATAAAAATTGAGCTTTTTCTTTTTTCCCATACCAGAAGAGTTATAAACCGTGAAACTTAAATATTGCCAATTTTACACTGTCATTTCTTTAAAGCCTTTGGATTTATCAGATTTATCCATTAGTGAACAAAATCAACAATACGAGGTTTCGGATTTAATCAATACATTCTGATCTGGAAAGTTTGCCAAGCAGTAAGTGCTTAGCTGAAATGTTGTCTCAACGTCTCGAAGGATGTTGAACCTGCGCGCAAAAACACCCAAAAATATATATACGTGTAACAAAGCATGAGGTCAAAATGGATGGATATTGGCCAAGTTCTTTTTTTGCATAGTTATGGACTGAGACGAAGTCGAGGTCCATTAAAAAATAGGACGAAGTTCATCTCCAGCCATCTCGACCGAACAAGCTTGGTCAATGAACCTTTGTTCATTTGGAGAGACGGTAAAGAAAGCCAACTCTTTTGTAGCACAATCAACCCACGAAGAGACCTTTACTTCTTCTGCGCGTTTTGCGACTCTGTTGTCAACAGTGTCTAAAAATTACGAACTCTGTATATCTGTTCGAAGTATATTTTTTGAGCAGGATTAAAGAGGGCAATCCTAAGCGGGCAAGGTCATCAGGGCCCATCTTGCCCACTCGGGTAGCCAGTCAGAACACAGGATTCGCTATAATTTTCTACGGGCGCTGCCAGCGATATACGTAATAACTTTATATATTCTAATCGAAAGCGTTTCATAACCAGTGTATACCAGGCGTGGTAGTTTTCAACGAGGCCCAAGGCCTACCTGTTAAAGAATTCCACGAAAGCGTTTTCGAAGTTTTAGTTAGAAAAACCATCGCCAGAAAAAGGAGCGAGATATTGTGCGCGGCCTTAGGTATCAGTTCGCTTATCCAACACTTTTGACTCTGTAGAACTTATTCATTTTCGTTAACAGAGTATTTCAGTAACGGTTTGTCGGGATTAACTGTTTGACTACAATGGCAAGTTTGTGTAGCACTGTCAAATTTAGTCATAAGTTACTTACCAAGCAACTTTTTTTAATCCTTGACACAGTTTTTTCCAAACATTAAAAGTGTAAAAAATTCACACCATTTTGTTGCGCGCACAACACGCGCGCCACGGTGCATTTCAATCGAAGTATTTCGTCGACTGAACTTTTTAAAAAGCGAGTCGTCTCATTTCAAAACTGAAATAGGGAAAGTTTTCGTCTTGTATATCAGCTACCACACTAGAGTCTTGTTGGGCAAATGAAAATAAATGAGCACGCGCTGAAAATGTTGTTGAATGCTTCGAGCGTTGAGTTTTAAAGAAAAAAAGCGTATGTTGTGTCCTTGAAGTGCGTTTGTTTGTTTCTTTTTTTTTCTAAAGTGTTTGAGCCATAAACTGAGCAAGTCAGAATAGAAGAGAAAGAAAATGGTCGTAACAACCTAAACTTTGAAGTCAGCGCCACCCTTTGTTTAGTGGCAATCGATCACCTTTCCCTACGCTCGACCCAATTTTTGTCTTCAAATCTCTTGAGCTACATTGATGCCTCCAGCGAAAAAAATTATCTTTTCAACTCGACATTAGCCGAGCGCGCTTTAAACCATCCGATGACAAGGTCTCGATTAAAAACAAACAATAGCGCCATTGTGTTGAAACGAATCAAACCATAACAATGGGAAAAGTGTAAGAGGGGAAACTTGCTATTAAACTGTGGCGTAACGAGCCTTTGATCAGTCTACGATTAACATTGTTCTGAGAACATCTACATTTTGTGTGGTAACTTTTCGGTCTTAAAAGTTGAAAACTGGTTTTACCCCAGGGTGCACACCGCCGGTAAGTGGACGGAGGCTTGGGTACGAGGGTAACCGTTTGTTTATTCGTTATGGAACATTGCATATCGTAATGCGTATTAGTTGTTTGGTCAATAAACACGAATCGGTATGGTGGTAATCTGTCATGGATATCGTCTGGAGCTGCCGCTCGTTTAAATCAAAGTAAGTACCCATGTTGTGAGTTTGCCTGTTGCTTCCACCCAAGAAACCTGGGATCTGGGTTTTTCTTAATGTAATTTGAGCCAAATTAATGTCAAGTTTCAGATTTGCATATTTGGGATGAGCTCATGATGCAAATGTTGTATACTGATCGTACTTTTGAAACATCTGCTGAACGAAAAGTACTTTGTTACATTATCGATATATCCCGGATAAAACTGGTGTGTTAGAATTCGATGGAAACATGTATACGTAAATACATTTCTTGGTCAATTCGGGAGACTAGCGTCATCAAAGTCAAAGTACAGCTCCGCGTTTGGTTCTCAGCGGTGGACACTTAAAAGAGAAACAGCGAAACGATGAGCTTTCTATGATCGCGTCGAAACTTGCCGTAACTGTGTGGAATCTTTGGCCTTGATTATTGATTTTTTTAACTCTAGCTTCAAGCAAATCAAAGGGTACAGGTGTAGTGCTTGCATGTCTTGGCATTTTGTGACATGTTTTTATCGATAGATTAAATCCTTTATGACCAAAGTGGTTCAGTTGAGTTACTTTGTACAATTACCGTACCCTAAGGAAAACATTGCAAAAGCTGGCGATGAAATGCGAATGAAAGATATAATAAGTACGGGACATTAGCAACTTGAAGGTCAGGTAAATGAACATTATGTGCCATCGCTAATTGAGCCAAATAATACGTTGGGCAATTTACATAGATCGCTTTTGTTCGTTTACAAATACATTTTATCTTCATTTCAATTGCTGCGGGTCACTTGTACAGTCATGCAGACGTACGAAATCAACCCATTTACTCCGAATCACTATGTCTGCATGTATATCTTGGATTTGGTAAAATAGGCGTTATCGGAGCTTTGACTTGTTAGCTTCGTAGTTCAATGATGTAGTCGTGCTGTTTGTTTGTTATGGTTGAAAGAGCAAGTTGATCTTGTCGACTTTTCCGTTACCTTGGCAAACTTCTTTGTTTTGAGACGCGGGTAGTAGCAACCTGTGATGAGAAGATAAAAACAATGGTAGATTAGGCTTTTTAGCCAACCGGCCCACATGCATCTTGGCAACGGAATTTACCAAATAAACATGTCATCCAATGAATAAATTATTAAGTTTTCTTTCAAGAAAGTTTTTCAAGGTTCGTAGATTCCAGGCTTGAATCAAGCTGACGCTGTACAAATAGAAAAGAAAATAAACTTAAACTGACTGACAGTAGTGTTGGTTTTTAGTTCCTCAGTTAAGTAACTTAATTCTATTTAACAAATACATTCTACATTGCCTTTGATCAGTAACAGATAAAAACATGACGTCAAAATGTGGTAGGAACAAAATCGTGACACACGGAAAATCAATAGTTTCTAAACTGAATGTTTCAGGTCCAAGAAAAGTTGTAATGGCAGCGTAAGACGGATGTTGATATTTTTTTATCAAATGAGATAACCACCACTTCATTTTGCTTATTTGTCGTAAACATATTTAATTCAAAGCCCTTGCGCTTTCACCAACCCACCATGGATTGTACAAACGAAACATTTATACCTATTCTCTTGTCCTATTTTAGATTCCGTACATAATTCATTATGGCCAAAGTGGAATAGAAATTGAAACTTCACGCATTGTATGATGGGAAGTTGCACCAGCTCACCCGAGGTAGTCGTCATCTCTAACGAGACAGACCCACCGGAGAAGTCAGTAAAGTCTGGTCAAAATGACAAACAGGACGATGGGTATGTATGTACTTAAGTTCTTATCAGTTAGTAGCGAAAAATTTCGAATTATTTGAGGGTAAAATATTGGGGGAAGCCCATGTGCCCCCTTCCCCACTCTCCTTCGCTACTGTTGGGAAAGAATTAATTCTCACACCGGTTTGTGGGTGTGGTGTAGACAGGTGCCTAGAGTTGACTTTGGCTTGGTTGCCAAGTTGACTTCTTTACTGATTGCTCATGGCAAGTACCCTCCAAAACTATCGACAGAGTGTTTTCAGGATTTTAATTTGCGATGATATCCACGTCTTTATGTACCCTTTCTTAAGTTATTAAATGGCCTTCCCTTCGTAACGTCTTGCAGTGTCGTGACAAACTGAACCCCACTCGCGCAAACACTTAACCTTCCCAACCACTTTCATTTTGCCCTTATCACCCATCCTGCACCCAGTTTCGGTCATCTCATGTTAAATGATTCTATCTACCTTTTTTCAGGATCCTTATCAAAGCCAACACGCCATGTGAGTTTGTCTTGTTTAGTCTGCTCTATTACTACATTAGCCTGTTAGATTATTAAATTATTTACAGATAATCCTCCCCTCTTATTACCGGTGGTGGCGTTCATTCGTACGTCTCATTTTTCTTCCTTCCTATTTAGGGCGTAACCTTGGTTATGAAGTCTACAAAGGACTAATGGGAGAGGAATTATTTAAAAAGAAGGTTGAGGATTTCGAGAAGGTAAATTTTTGTTACTCATCTTGAAAGAGATAGGAATCTGATCCCATAAAACCTTTAATGCGGTATTCACTTGTAAATGTTTAATACCAAGAACTACCATTCTGCTCCTTTCCTGCTAGATTTATTTGCCCGATAGAAAACTGTTCTACAACACTTCGCACAACAAATTAAAAAACTTAATCTTGCAGGTTTTTCTTTTTTTTTTTTTTTTTTCCCTTAGCCTTTTCCCCCGCCTGGACTTTTCGCTCAAGGTAGAATTGCATATGATACTACCAAACTCAAGTTACTATTTGGTGCGAAAGTTTTAGTCAAGGGACAACGAGCAACTCATTCAGTAGGAGTTGGATCTGAGGGGATAGCGACGATTGTCTCTAATCCACAATTTCCAGCGTGTGAGTTTTTTACTCCTGGAGCTTCGTACCCAGTCTGTCTCCGCCACTCTACTATCAAGTCCGTGGATGACGTACTGATTGACTTTTGCGGCGGTGCGTTAAGGTTTGCCGGAAGTGACGAAATGGACAGTCCATGCGATCTCATTATGGGGACTGGACCGACAACACCATTGTGGAGTTCTCAGGCCATATTTGATGCAGCAAGAGCCAATATTACAAAGGATTTGAAAACTTATTTGCTTCTCGGGCCTGATCAGTAAGTGGAAGAATTCTGAAATTTTTAATTTACACTTTTTCATAAGGGTGTTTACACTATGTTTGTTTCCCTCAGGTTACACGCACAGGTTCGTATTTCCTACTAACCTGAGGATAGGTATTAACCTCCATTGTAGAATTGTGACATTAAGACTCCACTTCGAAATTTTTATTCACTGGAATTTTTTTTCATTTTCATCAGCGAAAACGACATTGGAATTCTTTATTTTCCCTTTGTTGTGTTATCTTTGCAGTCTCAAAGCCAACATTGGAGGTCTGCGCCAAAAGCCTGAATCCTTTTACGACCAGCGGTATTACACAGAAGTGATTTTCGACTTCAAAACGTTTGATGAAGTGAAGCGTTACGTTAGATTCCGGCTGCTGCCCGCTGATGGGCGACCAGAAACAGGCTTGTTGTCTGAGGAAGTCCAGTGGCACCCATGGTGAGTTGGGCAAGTCAAAGCTTACTGATGTAGTGATAAATTTTTTAGTAACACGATTTTGAGACACCGAAATGTTTGAAACCGTCGTTTCGACATGCAATATGCACCACCTGGTAGGTTAAATGACATGATGTTTAATAGCCGATCTCTCATCTCACGTGAACTATATCTAATGACGTTGGTGCATATTGCATGCTATTTCCATACACGACCTTCTGCTTTCTTTTAAATGACAGCATAAAAGAAACAGTCGGTTGAAAACCACAAATTAGTTTTATAATAACAGCAGTGTTATCTACTTTCCCATCAGGGGCGGATGTAACATAGCATGACAAGATTGCTATGGATGAAGGTTAAAATAACCCAAGGGAGTTGAGCAGGCACGCAAGATGAGGCACCCTGCAATATTGTACACTTGCATTGTGCGTTCTTATCGATATTTTCTCCGAAGTGACGATTAATTCAATTTGGTAATATTCTTTTATACCACAACAAGCAATTCAAAAGTTTATGGTGCGAAAAAACTCCTTCTCTCATCAATATTTGGGGTAACCATTCAGTTGGCAAAAAGATTTCATTCAGTGTATTTCCAGCAAATGGAGAAAACTAAATTAAAAACCGGATTTAAATTTTTTTAATTGTACCCGGAATTAACAAACACTAGTACAAAAAGTCCATTGGATATTTGATTTACCTACAGGATAAATGAAAGGTCACCCGATGAGACACTGCCAATGGACTACCTAAAGCGTGAGTACAGAGAGAGAATTTCCAAGGGACCACTGGACTATAAACTACAGCTGCAATTCCATGAACCGAAGGAAGATGATCCCCCAACGATCCTTCAAGTTGGGAGAGAATGGGACGAGGAATCACATCCATGGCTTGATGTGGCTGACATCAAAATGACTTCGCTGTTGTCTCCGATGGCAACGGAACGCCTGAAATATATTTATAAAAACCTTCCAGCTTCAATTGGTATTTTGCCGGCCGTTTCTGTTGACGATCCGAATGTTGTTGTCCAGATCCGTAACGAAGTATATGTCTGGTCTCACAAACTTCGCGAAAACAGGTCAAACAAGCTCGTCCCAGAGCACATGACGTCCTATCTTATCCGCGTGGAAACTGGAAGCCATTCTGGAGCAGGAACAGACGCTTCCATTTCTATTACATTGACAGGTAAACTACCTAGCTCTTAAATGATTTGGTTTGATCGGTAAGCCACAGATGGCGTCAATATATCATTTAAAAACAAGCTCTTTTCTAACGCTCGTGTACCAGCTCACAAGCTGCATTAAGCTCCTGCCGCTCAGGAATGTATCTAGGGTGGACTTAAGGAAAAAGCGCGCTTTTAATTTACCTGTGGTCCGTACGAACAGGTGCCGTGATAGTTTTATCTTTCTTCATTTACGCACGCTTTGTATAAGCTGACTATGTTACCTAATTTTTGATATTTTAAAAGTATGTTACCATTTCTTATATATTTCTTAAAATTGTAACTGAATACGTAATTCAACCTTTGGTTGCAATGTTTTTCAAATAAATAAACTATCTAAACTATTTAACAGAATTTTCGTTGTTATCCAGGCACTAAAGGAAAGACAGATTTTATTAAGTTGGACAACTGGGGCAATGACTTCGAGAGAGGAGACGTTGATGAATATTCCGTAGAGGCAATAGATGTTGGCGAAGTTCTAATGGTGCATCTTCATAACGACCGAGGTGGATGGTGGTACAAGAATCCTGATTGGTTCGTTAACAAGATCGCGGTGATAAGTTCCACTCAGGATGATCCATTTGAGTTTCCATGTTATCGCTGGGTGCTATCAGATTTGGTGGTATTTGAAGGGAGAGGTATGATGTTATATTTATAATATTTTCCTATCTGCAAGAGAAACCCTCTGAACACCACTCATCAGCCATTCGTTAAAATCATGAGTAAGTTCAATTGAATCTTTTTTATAACTCTTCCTAGTTGTCGTAATCAGTTGTATGTCCCACTCCAAATGTCCCACTCAATCATCATCTTTATTGTTCCCAGCCATGACTCGAATGCTTCTCCAGGTCGTCTCCGTCTGTTACCCCCCTCTGCTACCCCCATCTGCTACTCCCATCTGCTGCCCCCATTTGTTACCCCCATCTGCTACCCCCATCTGCTACCCCCATCTGCTACCCCCATCTGCTACCCCCATCTGCTACCCCCATCTGCTACCCCCATCTGCTACCCCCATCTGCTACCCCCATCTGCTACCCCCATCTGCTACCCCCATCTGCTACCCCCATCTGCTACCCCCATCTG